ATGTACATACCATGGACTGCCAAGAAAACAAACAGATTCATCCTGGAAAGGGTTAAACCAGGCTACTCCTTGGAGGCAAAGATTCTGGGGCTTCATCTGACATACTTTGGACATGTTGTAAGGAGGGACTGGTCCTTGGAGAGGGACATCATGCTTGGAAGGGTGGAGGGACAGCGCAGGAGGGGAAGACCCTCTATGAGGTGAATTGATTCAGTGAGTAGGGTAATTGGGATGGATGTGTCAAAGGCAGTGAGATTGACATAGGATAGAGCAGGGTTTAGGGCTTTTGTACATAAGGTCGCTATGCACAAGCGACTCGAGGGCACATAACAACAACAACAACATTCCTCTTGATGGTCCCCCACATTATTGTTAGGCTTTCTTCTTTTTCCTTCCTTTTTTGAATCTGCTTTTTGTACTAGCAGATCAGTGGTGACAATTCTATCTTCTGTTTTTCTAATTCTGTTTTCCATCTCTTCAACTCTGTTAATACATCCCTTTAACATGTTGACAGCATCAAAAGCATAAGTCGTTATAGCCTGGATTATCGTTTTTTGTTTCTCCAGAGCCACATAAAGAAAATTTTAAGACAGGAAATTAGCTAAATGACTGGGAAAAATCCATAGGCTGTGGTTTTGCCAAGGCATAGCTTTGTCTTTGTGGGCTTTGGCAACAACCTGAATTTTATTATAAACACAAATAAAAGAAAAAATGAAATTAAACCATTTGCTACATCTTACTGAAAGTTTTAAAGTATAGGTGATGGAAGAATTTGTTACTTGAACTTTGATATCATTCTTCCGTTTAAAATGGAATGGAGAGGACCCCATTAGCTGACTCCAGTAAGGAAGGGCTTGTGGCTTTAGGAACTGAAGCTGGTGCAGCCACGATCGTTAGGCGGATATTAGAACTGAACTGTCATCTCCGAAATGTCAGATAAAGACTGAATTGAAATCTGTTCCTCTCAAATGGCACAGATTATCATGAAGACTTGGTTGAAGGGTGCACAGACAGGCTGAAACCTCTTAAAGAGAAAGTCTAATGCTTTGACTCTTCAATTTTGATAGATCTTGAAGAAGGTAATAAAGACTAAACTGTTGATAGGTGAAGTGATGACAGAAGCTGTCTTTTCACTAGCTGAGGCCAAGTTCACTGCTGGGGACTTTAGCGCCACAGTTAACCAGAACGTGAACAAAGCCCAGGTGAAGAGTCACACAAAGAAACATAATGTAGCAGTTGTTACTTTGCCAGTAGTTGAACATTACCAAGAAGGAACTGACAGTTATGAACTGACTGGTCTAGCTGGAGGTGGGGAACAGTTGGTGAAGCCAAAGAGAAATTATGCCAAATAAGTGGAACTAGTGGTGGAACTTGCTTCAATGAAGGCTTCATCTGTTACTCTAGATGACGCTATTACTCTAACAAACAGACGTGTAAATACTATTGAACATGGTTCAAGAAAAGCCAAAAGAAGAAACAGATCCTTAGGGGTAATTCAAGAAGGACTTGGAGCAGCGAAGAGACGCTGGAGAGGTGATAGAGACAGCTAATCTTCTGGCTGAAGAGGAGAATGTGTATCTTCTATTTGAATAATCTATCCTGCTGTGGTCCTTCCAAAAGTCCAAACACCTGTACCCTTTTCATTCACGTTGTGTAGGTACCGTATGTGTGGCTATTTTTTTATTTATTTAATTTTTGGGGGCCTAAAAATCTCATTGGTTATGAAAGTCCCCTGGAGGGGAATTTTGTGGGATTACTTCTGAAGCATCACAATTCAGCATTGATTTCAGAGATTTGTAGTTGTTTTCAAAGAGCTTGTAGAATTGATCACACAGAAATGTTCCCTATCCCATCTATATCTGTGTTATAAATTATTTGCTTCCCAAACATTTTAGGAGACTCCTGACTTAGGGACCATCTGTGGGCCTCAGGCCACAACCTAGAGGTCAGCTACCACTGTGTACCATGTATTCCTACATACTTTCACTGGTGTCTGAGATTGCTGAGGCTGTCCTTGTGTTGTTGTGCTCTTTCTTTCCAAGTCTTATGAATACCAGCACTTATATTTCCTTGAATGATAGGTTTCTGTCCTGTCATGGGAACTATGGTACAATGTAAAGTTATTTAAAACAAAATTTTTTAAAAAAGAAAACATGGAATGGAGAAAAATACAGTAAAATTTTCGAAAAAACTATGAGATACCGTCTCACCCCAGTAAGAATAGCAAAATTTAACATAACAGTAAACAACAAACGCTGGTGGGGGTGTGGAGAAACTGGAACCCTTATTCACTGTTGGTGGGAATGTAAAATGATGCAACCACTATGCAAGGCTGTATGGCACTTTTTCAAAAGTTGCAAATAGAAATACCATTTGACTCAGCAATTCCACTACTGGAAATTTACCATAAAGAAGCCATAAGTGCCACTCAAGCAGATATATGCACACCCATGGTAATTGCAGCTTTGTTCGCAATAGCAATGAGCTGGAAACAACCCAAGTGCCCATCAACAAACGAATGGATAGAGAAGCTCTGGTATATTCACACAATGGAATACTATGCAGCATTAAAAAACAGGGAACTCAAGAAATATTATGCAAAATGGATGACCCTGGAGGACATTATGCTAAGTGAAATATCTCAGTCACAAAGGACAAATATTGCATAGGGCCACTGTTGTAAAACAGAACTGACATCGGGATTTAGGGAAGACAGAAAGGGAGGGGAGGAATAGTGTATATTGCATCGAAACAGATGAGGGAGAGAACTGTTTAAAAGGGATATATGTTTGAGGAGAAGGGATAGGCAGGGAGAAAAGTGCAACAATGGATGACTGGAAACCCGAAGTCTTTATAAACTTTCATTAAAATTAATAAAATAATTGTTGTTGTTGTTGTTTTTATGTTCTGTCAAGTAGCTTATGACTCATAGCGACCCTAAGTACAACAGCCCTAAACTCTGCTCTGTCCTGTGCCAATCACACTGCCTCTAACATTCCAATCCCTACTACCCCAGTGACAGAATCAATCCACCCCATAGAGGGCCCTCCCCTCCGGGGCTGTCCCTCCACCCTAGCAAGCATGATGTCCCTCTCCAAGGACCGGTCCCTCCTTACAACATATCCAAAGTATGTCAGACGGAGTCTTAGAATCCTTGCCTCCAAGGAGCCGCCCAGTTTAACCCTTTCCAGGATGAATCTGTTTGTTTTCCTAGCAGTCCATAGTACCATCAATACTCTTCTCTAGCACCACAGCTCAAAGGCATCAATTCTCCTTCTACCCTCCTTAGTCACTGTCCAACTCTCTGATGCATAATGGCCTGTATCAGACGCACCTTACTCTCCAGAGAGACACCATTGCTCTTCAGTACTTTGTAGAGGTCCCTAATAGCAGACTTTCCCATGGCAATATATCTTTTAATTTCCTGGCTACTGGTGCCAAGAGTGTTGACTGTGGAGCCAAGCAAACTAAAGCTGTGAACAATCTCAATCTCTTCACCATCCATCCTGATGCTGCCAGTTGGCCCAGTGGTGAGAATCTTTGTCTGTTCTGGGAATAAAAAAATACCAGCTGAAAAAAATAATAGTAAAATTTACTCACTGATTAGATCATTGTACTTATTAAGAATTCAACATAGAAAATATCCTTATTTGATATAATGGATGTAAAGACAAACTAATTATATTGCGAGTTATCTCCGTGTGGGTTGCTTTTTTAAGGTTAGTGGACAGTTATTAGGATTAAATTTCAGTCCAAAACTTAGGAAGAAGAGACAATTTAAAAAGAGAGCCTAACATATTCTACCTTCCCTACTATTAAGGAGGTTACAATGCAACAGTTACTTTTGTTTGCATTAAAAACTACCTTCATTTGTTTTGTGGCTATTGTTTTGCCCTGAAGGTTAGTTTATACTGATTAATTTATTTGTGACAATATTTTACCCATCATTACCATTACTTTTGTTTTTTTAAATTGTCTTAAATTTCAACATGGTAGTATCTTTAAGGCAGTTTTTTAACCACCCTGTTAGAGTAACATTTTCTTCCTTGAATCATTCTTAAATTTTCTTTCCAATCTAGTTGTTCATTGGTATAATTGGTAATTATGATATCACAAAAGTTATTAAATTATGCTTTATTTCTGTAACTTTTAGTTTGCTTTGGACCTTCTTCATACATAACCAAATGATCTTTGAAAAAATGCACTTTGGTTTCTACTCTTAACTTTTTCTCTCCCCACCCACATGCTTTTTTAAGGAAATGATAATATAAAACACAATGTGAATAAAAAAGTGTATGAAATGCAATGTGTCTTAAAGGGAAAAAACACTGTAAAATCACTAAACTAAAATGAAAACAAATATGATTCTTGATAAAGAAACATTTGTTGTTGCTTTTTCTAGGAAAAAAATAATAAGGATAGCAAAGCTTGAAAATCATACTGTTCACAAAACTTATAATCGTATCACTAAGATAACCAAAATGTATACAAAGCAAGAAATGAACATCTACTGTATGTTTCCATTGACCTGATTTTCTTGGGTTCAGTTACCTCTTCTGAAATTGTGATTTAGGACATGGTTGGGACAAAAGGAGAAAGAGAATAGGAGGAAGAGGAAACTTAAGGAACTTAAGGATAGGGTAGAAAAAATTGTACAACTTTATCTCTTTGGCGACAGTGTCATCTAGTATTTCATAGCAATGACTTTGAAGTCAGATAAAGAGGAGATGAAGCTTCCCTTCAACTTTCACTAGTGACATTATCTTTGGGAAGAATCTTCAAACTGCCATAATTTTCTAGGATTTTCACTTACTTCATTATCACCATCTTAGATTATTTGTAAGAATAAATGAGATAAAGCATGTATAAATAACAGTGCAGCAAAAAGTGACCACCCAGTAAATGCTCTTCATTATTATCTTGCTTTTATTCTAAGTTATGCATGTTTTTAAAGTGGTTTGTTGTAAGAATGTCTCATTATAATCTTCTCTATATTTCAGGATATTTTTATTTCTTCAGTGGACCATTACAGATTGAGTTTAATCCTAATAACAAGATGGTAACAAAGCATCTGAGGAGTAACAGCTGGTTAGGTTGTGAAGCATGATAAGAAGAAGATAAGAATTAGGCACTTGAAGTGAATACACGATTATTCATGTAATCATTCATTACACCTGAATGTGCAGGAATAAAAAAAGACAGGACTTGATGCAAGGATTTAGATGGAGATCATCCTGTGAGTCATGAAATATTTTTCTCAATGGCTTCAGTTGCATCATATAAAAGTGAGATATACTCATAAACATCCAACAAGAAAATATATATTTACTGATGTTTGATTTGTTCCTTAATAAATATGTTTTACTTGTGATGTGTTCTTCTCTAGAATTCTTTTTACTATACTGAGCACACTGTGATGTATCTTCGGGCAGACAGAAGTAGATGCTATAGAATCCCACACTCCAGGGTTGGGACATATGGCTGGGACTTGCCCTTTGCCTTCTTTTCATCTTCCTGTAATAGGTTTTGATCTTTGTCTCCCAGAGGTTGTCTTTTATACACATTTAACTAAGGCAGAGCAAAGTCTATAGTTGACCTAGATCTCTGGCTTTAAGCAAAATTAGGAAACAGAAAACCAACAAATTATCTAGTCTGCTTCTTCATTTTACAAGTACTAAAAAAGGGGCTCGTTTAAAATCCAGTTACTTTATTTTTTAGTATATAATAATTTATTTTCTGAAAAACTCCCTGTCCTAACAATCAAATTTTTCAGATCTTCTTTTTTTTATTGAAAATTACCTCTCTTTGTAATTTTTCAAGTTTTGGTCAATAAGAAAGAGTTTTTATTGCAGAAATTTCTGGCCAATAAGAAAAAGTTCATTTATTTATGAAAAAAATATTTCATGTAAATATGAAATATTTATGTGAAAATTTATGACAGAATTGTCTCAATAGGTTATATATCCCACATCAGAAAGATACACTATAGAAGACTACTCTTTCATGAATTTGCTTAAATAAAAGGCACTGTTGTAGATATAAGAGAGCAGAGAGATAAGCACATGTAACCCAACTTCATTAAGGTTGTCTGGTGGGAAGAAAAAACAAAACAAAACAAAAAAGAGTTAAAAAAAAGGGGAGAGTAACAAACAAAGAGTAAAACTAAGATTTGTCTGGTGATATGAATAAATCAACCAAAAAAGAGTAAAAAGAAAAGGTAGTTTAAAAGTATATGCAAGCTATTGTGTATGAGAGAGTAAAGATTGGAAAGGTAACAATTTAAAAAGAAGTGTTTAAGCTACATTAATTAGCCAGGGTGCTACGGGATAAGAGAATAGAATATTTTATGGAGAAAATGGTATAGGGCCATAGGTAAAAGAATGTAGGACTGTTCCAGATGGCGATTTTGAGTGGAACTTAGTAAATGTTGTACCTTACTAGTATGGTTTTGAAGATAATGATATATAGGTTATTGTTGGTGCTGTTGAGTCAAGTACAACTCTTAGTAACCATATGAACAAAAGATCTGAACTCTCTTCTATGCCATCCTCACATTTCTTTTTATTTTCTTTTTCTTCTTTATTTTTTAATATATTTTAA